GTGGAGCTCGGTTTTGTGTATAATGTTGTGGCCGCGAGTAAGGTTGCGCGTTCATCACCACATAGGGAGGCGGTGCAACGGCATAAGGAGCATCTTGAAGGGGATAATAGTGTGGTGGTCCATAGGAGGCACATATGATTGGTTGAATGACCTACGGGCCCCCCTCGAGCTTGAAACCATCATGGCTCCCTCTTCACTTCCATTGTTGTTTATCAAACCCTCCGAACCATTCTGAGCAGCATGTGATGTGGCCTTAAAAGCAGCATGACTCAAGATTCGACCTATTTTTAAACCGTTTACAACAAAACCGTTTCCCCAATTTTGATAGCCTCAGCGAACGGCTTATCCATAGCAGACATCATGTTCTGGAAGTAGTCCGCCTCTAGGGCCTGTAGAAAGACCGTGACCATTTCAATTTCGTCCATTGGAGGCTTTACCCTGGTAGTTTGCTCACGCCATTTAACAGCATATTCGCGGAAGCTTTCCACGGTTTTCTTTTTCAAATTGGGCAAAGAGTTTCTGTCAGGAGCGATGTTCACATTATACTGGAACTGGCGGACAATATCTCGGGCCATATCGTCTCACACGTGCCAATGGGTAATTTCTTGATCCGTATACCACTCAGAAGCGATTCCTGTTAGGCTTTCCCCAATATAGGCCACTAGTAGTTCCTCTTTTCCACCAGCGCCCCTCAACTGGTTACAGTATCGTGTTAGATGAGCGACCGGGTCTCCGTGCCCGTTGTACTTTTCAAATTTTGGTATCTTGAAGTTAGCTGGCAAGTGGACAGGGGGAAACATACAGAGGTCATAGTATGAGACACTCTTTTGGCCACTCAGACCTTGCATGTTTTTCAGGCTTTGTTTTATGCTCTTCATCTTCCGAGCCGCTTCATCTTGCTCGGAATTTTTAACAACCTTTTCTTTCTCCACCAAGAGATCATATTGCGTAGGTTGAGTTAAAGAGTACGGGTTCACATATATTATTTCTGATTGAAGTTGTGGACACTAAAAAGTGAACATTGGAGGCTTAACATGCGGCCGTGGTAAAGTTGGTTGTGTTCTGGTGCAGACTGGTGATGTAGAGAACAATACTGAAGGTGCCTAGGAAGCTAGCGCCTAGGGACGAACCACAGAAGGCATGCCAGGAACATTGAACGACATTGGAGGGTGCCCGCATGGGATGAGCGGGTTGGGCACAGGGGCGTTAGTAACCTCACCTAACCTAGGGATCAACTCAGGAAACCCAGGAATTGCACTTGGCGGTTCCCTACCATTAGACCAGGCGTCCCACATTTCCAATATGCAGAGACGCAACATCTTATTCTCTTCAGCAGCTGCTGATTCTAGTTGTGGAATAACCAGTGTTGGGCTATCCTCAGGATCGATGATTTGTGGATGGATTTCAGAGGCCATAGGAACCTTTCCTTTGGATCTTGTAAGTAAGGATGGGAAGCCAGATTACCAACAAAACCAACCACCTAAACAGAACCTGGCTTAATTTGCACACCTCACAAACTTGTTAGTTTTGAGACGCTTAACAGATAGGAAATCGCATATTGGGATGCAATGCACTTAGACAGTTAAACGTTTCTACTATGTGTTTGAACGAGTTGCATGTTTCATCTTGGCCTTAATTAACCCTCTTTTTTCAATCTGCACGTCTTTTCTTCATTTTTGCTTCTCTCAAATCGCTCTTGATTTTTGTTTTGTTTCTGTCGCTCTTCTATTTTGGCACTCTCTTTTTCTCTTTTTTTTGTTTTTTTGTTTTTAGTCACTCTTTTATTTTATGTCACTCCTTTTTTTCACTCTTTTCTTTATTTTCTACTCAACTTTTTTTTAAGTTTATTTTTCACTCAATTTATTTATGGCTATGATCGATTCCGATGGGGATTACCTACGTATCATTACGTCGCATGAATTAGATCTTGCGTAGTTCGGGATGATCGAGAATGGAGTAAACAAACTAACTTTTTTTTTTTACTTTTTATAAAAACTCAGACCATGAAAGCTTTAGGACGGAAGAAAAACATATTTTTTTTTGAATTTTTGTTTTCTTTTGTTTTTTGGAATTTTCAAAAGAAATGCTTTAAAAGAAGAAAGGAAATATTTTTGTTAGATTTTTGATTGTTGACTTTTTTATATTTTTTTGAAAGAAAGACTTCTAAAAATTCCTTTTCTTTTGATTTGAACTTTGGGAATTTCAAAAGTAAAAAGAAATTATTACTTTTTTGAATGTTTATTTGTTTAATCTTTTTCTAAAGAAGAAAGGAAATATTTTTGGCTTTTGGATGTTGCCTCTTAATTTTCGAAAGAGGGGCTTTTAAGAAAATATTTTAGATTTCTGAGTTTTTTTTTTGTTTTTTAAAATTTACAAAAGTACATCTAAAGAAAAGCAAAAATATTTTTGGACTTCAATTTTTTTTAAATTTTTTTTTTGAAAGAAAGACTTTTAAACAAGGAAGAGAATTTTTTTTTTTTTTTGAATTTTTGGGAAAAGACTTCTTAAAAAGGTAGAAAAATATATTTATTTATTTTTGAATTTTGATTTGACTTGTGGATTTTCGAAAGAAGGAATTTTAAGAAAACATTTCAGATTTCTGAGTTTCTCTTCTTACTTTTTTTGTTTTTTTAATTTACGAAAGTACTTTTAAAGAAAAGCGAAAATATTTTTGGACTTTTATTTCTCAAATTTTTATGGACATTTACAAAAGAAAGACTTTTAAAGGAGAAAAGAATATTTTTGGATTTTTGTTTCTATTTTTTTTGTTGGAAAAATACTTCCAAAATGAAGGAAACCCGTATTTTGGATTTTGGATTTTTTTTTTATTTTGTTTTTTTTATTATTTTATTTTTTCATATGAAAGACTTCAGAAAGAAGGAAACTACTTTTTTGAATTTAAAAACTACTTGTTTTTCTTCTTAATTTTCCAAGGAAATATTTCTACAGAAGGAACAAAGGAAAAATATTTTTGAATTTTTTTAAAATTAGGGTCGGAACCGATGAGGTTTGCCTACGTATCTTACATCCGGTGAGAATTAGACCCATGTAGTTCGGTCAGTTTTGACGGAACAAGGGAAGCATGACACTAGAAAATTTTGGTTCATTTTGAAATGACTTTTCTTTTTCTTTTTCTTTTTCTTTTTTTTTTAGAAGTTTGGTAGCATTTCGAGATATTTTAAACACCATTTTTGGGAAATGGATGAATTTCTCTCATACCTCAATCTTGGTTTTCTTTGAATTTTCTTCCCTAATCTAGAAGCCGGTCAACATGCAAATCGAAATAAATAAATGCACAGGTAGCATGTAAATATGCATCAGGTTGGTCTTTTTATTTCGGGTACACCTGTCCTAGACGGACCCAACCCCTGTGTTGAGTCCCCAAAGTCAAATGCACATGATGCAAACAAGCGTTCCTACTAGGGATCCGGCATGAGGCTGAGTTATTCTAGGTTTAAAACCTGGGTATATTGTTCTAGACTTGGTGTACCCGAGCGGACAACTCGAGCCGGGGAGGGGGGAAGGGGGCTACATACCGGGAACCAAAAGGCCATTCGGCTTTATAACTTGTCTGAACCTGTTTCTAAATTAGGGTATGGCACTAACAGAAAAGAAGCCACGCCAGCATGCACTTCCCCGAAGATGAGAAGAGAAGGGTTTCGCAGCAGTGTGTATATAGTTCAAACAATATCAAAGCGGTAAAAAGCGGCATTTAGCACATTAGGCTTTAACATATATAAAAATCAGATAATAAATAAAAGTCAATTATAAAATTTATTCTAAGCTCGAATTCTTGAACCCTGAACAGGAAGTTCTGGGTTTTTATCCCCAGTAGAGTCGCCCGAGCTGTCACACCTCCTTTTTACCACCTGAGGGGGGATATAAGGGAGTTTTTCCAATTAAAGTAACATAAACCGAAATGGAATTATTTTATTTATTTTTCTGAGTCGCCACTTGGAATAATTTATTTTTGTCTCCCAAGTCACTGATTTATTTTTAAATCCCAAATCGAGGAAATTTGACTTTATTTCAAAGTCTGTGAAACCAAAAAATTCTAGATAAGGAATTCTGTTAACCGGAGAGAAGGTGTTAGGCATACCCGAGTTCCGTGGTTCGAGCACGATCGCTTAAACTATTAAAATTTTCCTAATTATCTGATTTACTACATCTTTTAAACCTAGTGTGCATTTTTAAACTTTTAAACCGCTTTTAATTATTTTATGGAATTATTCTGGAACAAGTTACGATTATCGTACACTTGTTTGTTTGATACACATTGTGAATCATGTCACGAGAACTGTACCCACGATCTACAACATGTTTAATTTATTAAAGTTATTAGAAGTTGTGGCTGGGTCACAAAATATAGCCCCAGATTTGAAAATTAGGTATCATGACTATGCCACAAGAATCATACCTATAGTCACAATGATTTATCATTAATCGCGCCTAAAGCAACTACGCGTGTTCATAAGTGATTATTTCCTAAGGTTTGAGACTATGCATGGGTCCAATCCTAATTGTCATAAGAGGAAAGACATATGGGCCTTTATTCAAGCCCAAATAGCTTCCAAATGAATTCCGTTCGATCATTTATTTAGACTGGCCTGAATGAATTGGCTTGGCCTCCATAGTGGTTTCTCACATAAGCTGCCTAAGAAGCTCCTAAATGACACAGGACAAAGCATTTCTCAACCACCGGGAATTCTTTTGATGACTCAGAAGTCAGAACAAAATTTTAAAGATGTATTACAATGCCAAGCTTTTTATGCAAAACAACTCAATGATCAAGTACGTTGATAGAAATAAAGATCCACTTCTAAAGGCAACTCACTCATCCTTCTTCTCTTTCTCGTTTCATCAACATTTACAAGTACTGGAAAAGACGAATTACTCTTTCATCTCCTGGTCTGATTAACAAATTTCCAAACATCTAGTTAAGTCTATTTACTACTTCTCAATTTACCAATGAATATAAAAACGAAACAACAGCTTAAACATTCATACTAATTTGAATCATTTTATCAAACAAATATTCAGGAATTAAAGATGAACTACACATATAAGGGAAACTTCAAATTACAACTAAATGACTTTTTTTTATTAGATTACAACTATAATAAGAAAGCAAACTATATAATCCTGACTGATTAAGTTTACTACACTTGATGAATTGCTATAATAGTTGTAACCTTCAATTTCATCCACAACGCCTTTAAACTTGACAAACATTAGCTCACGACGTCTCATAATGGCTTGATTTGGTCTTGGGACTCCTTCAGTTGTTGAATTTGACCAACTAGTGGTCAAATCCATGGACTAATCGATTCTAACTTCAAACCACAAATTGAATCAATATCACTAACATCAGCACTAGAAGCAAAGCTCAACTAAGATGACAAATGATTTCAAATTGAACATACCATTTCGAAAACATAAGTAGAAACAGTAATTTAGCATAAACAAACTCATGTTCCAGTCATAAATTCAATAAGTGATTACAGACGAGTGTAACTTACCTAAAACAGGAAATCAATGGAAACTGAGACCAAATAAAGGTCTGAAATCCAGACGATCAAACTCAGCTAATTTGAAGCCAACCAAACGAAATATTTACAAGCCAAACGAAGCGCGCGAAGACAAGAAGAGTCCAGCAATGCACAAACAACAACACAACTTCGATTTAGGTCCGAAATTGACTCAATCCACCAGAAATTTTTGAACCATAGCATTTGAAATCAGACCAGCTTTTCCAATCTTCTCTTTTTGTTATTATTTTTTATATATATTATTCAAGAAAAGGAGTCTTTCCGGAGGAGGAAATCATGGGGGTTCGGTGGCTGGCCTGATTCTGGCCTTAACTTACCGGTGAGAATAAGAGAGGAAGAGCATGGGTGCAGTGTGGTCGTCGATGGTCACTGACCTGAGTCGACGGTGACAGCCATTAGAGAGAGTGAAGAAGATGGAGAAGAAGAAGGGACTGATTATCCCGTTTTTTGGCCCTTTGTTGCGCCGCTGCTGCGTTTCTTTTTAGAGGATCAAAGGGGAGGGGTCATGGTTGCTCTGTTGAAGATGAGAGCTTCTTCCAGATGAGAGCACTGTTTTTGTTCTTTTCCGAGAGGGGAGGGTCTATCTCTGTCGCTTAGGTATAGGTCTAGAATGGGGAAGAGATTAGGGTTTTATTTATGAAAGGGGTAAAACGGGTCGGGTAGGTGAGAGGTGGGTCATTTGGTTTTTTTTGGGCCAATGTAGTGTTTGGCCCAATTTTGAACAAGACCCAAATAATTCCTTAATTCCCTTTTTTTCTTTTCTTTGGTTCTGAATTCTAATTAAATTAATTAAAATCCTAAATCAATCTATTTTTGTAGAAACTAAAAGTTCTTTATTTATTTCTAACATTAAACAACTAACTTAAAACTAAAGAAAAATGCTAATTTTAAAGGCCAAAATCTAAATATGTAAAAATGACCATTTTTATGATATTTGCTTAATAAAATTAATTCCTACATGCAAATTGAACCTAAGATGGCATAAAATTAAAACGTGATAATTTTATGATTTTTTATGATTTTAATATATTAAAAATGCAAGAAATACAAATAAATAAAGAAAAATTCCTAAAAATCAATTAAAATTATTTTGGTATATTTTTAGGAGTTATTTTTATGTAGGGAAAAAATTAGGTGCTTACAATTTTCATGTTCCGGAAGTATCACGGTGATCCGTCCCATGTGCTAGATTTCATCTCAGTCCAATTGGACAAGGATTTTGCTTACTAGGAGGAGCCGGTGGATATTTTAGCCTGCCAGGTTCGATAGTTGTGGTCTAAGAGTTATCCTTCAGTTCGAGTGCAGTGGAGAGGCTAGCCGGCCGAGGGAGCTACTTGGGAGTCTGAGTCGGACATGCGGAATAGATATCCACGCCTTTTCACCATCCCGGATACTTTTCTACGTTCGTCCGAGGACGAATGGTTGTTTTAGAGGTAGAGAATGTAATGACCCGATAGGCCATCTAGAGTTTTAGAATCTAATTATGTGTTTCGAAGCCTCCAATAGCTTCTTTAAGCCTTCCTCGGTTTGTGTGCACAATCCAGGTGTTTTTTCGGAAGGCATTTATGTTAAAAACTGATAAAAATAAGAATTTCTATCTTAATAATCTATTTAAAGGTGTTTAAATAGATTTTGAGCAAACAAATCCGGATTCATATTTTGATGGTCCCGCAAGGTCCGTATCGTGATTTGGGACCTGGGCATATGCCTGGAATCGAATTCGGAGGTCCCTAGCTCGAGTTATTGATTTTTGGCGAAAACTGAAAGTTTAAAGGTTTAATAATTTTTAAGAATTGACCAATGTTTGATTTTGTTGATACCGGGTTTGTATTTTAGCTCTGGAGCCTGATATAGGTCCATTACTATATTTATGACTTGTCTGTCAAATTTGGTGAGAAATGAAGTTGGTTTGACGTGATTCAGACATTTGGTTGTTAAAATAAAAGTTTTAAAGTTTTCTTAAAAATTTCATTTGATTTAGAGTCTGATGCGTAGTTCTAGGCATTATTTTGGTGTTTTGATCATGCTAGCGAGTTCGTATAAGGGGTTTGGACTTGTATGCATAATAGGTTTGGAGTCCAGAGAGCTCGGGTGAATTTCGGATAGGGTACAGATGGTTTAATCTTAGAAAATTGTTGGTTTTCCACTTCTGCTGGTTTCTGTGATCCCTTCTTCACGTTCACGAAGGTACTCACGCGAACATGAAGAGTGAAATGGGCTGGGTGGATTTAATTCATCGCGAACGCGATGGATGGCTCGCTAATGCGGAGCAATAGGTGCCTTACCCTTCGCGAACGCGACCAGCTTCTCGTGAATGCGTAGCTTAATGACCTGGGAGGGGGATCATCGTTCTTATTCGCAACGCGAGCACTGGCTCGCGAACGCGAAGGCCAGGGGTAACAGCCTTCACGAACGCGATGGACTCGCAACGCGAAAGCCACTTGGGCTGTTGCACACCGCGAACACGGTAGGCCCTTCGTGAACGCGAAAAAGACGTGACATCCAGACCTTAAAACATTTCAAAAATGGGATTCCTCCAATTTTTCATAACCCTTCCATTAGAGCTCGTCCTAGGAGCAATTTTGAAAAGAAAACTCAACATCAATTCATAGGTTTGTACACTTTAACCCATTTTTTCCATTTTTAACATTACCATTAATTCTTAGCCCTAATATTTGTTCTTCCATGGTAAAAAAATTAGGGATTTAGGAAGAATTGGGGTTTTTTAAAATTAGAATTTAGACCTCAAATTGAGGTCGGATTTTGAAACTAATTATATAATTAGACTCGAGGTGAATGGGTAAATGGATTTTGGTCTGAACATTGGGTTTTGACCAAAGGACCCGGGGTCGATTTTTGACCTTTTTTCTATAGAAAGTTTGGAAATTCTAAATTTATACATTTTAATTGATTTCTTTAGCAATTTTTGATATTATTGAGTCAATTATGGATATATATGAGTGATTTGGAGGCGGATTCTAGTGGAAAGGCCCCGTTAGAGCTCTGAATTGACTGTAGAGTGAGGTAAGTGTTGAGTTTAACCTTGACTCGAGGGAATTAAGAATTCTCGAACTATGTGCTATGTGAATTGCATGTATTGCAGCGTATATGCGAGATGACGAGTGCTTATACGCTGTCAAATTACTTGTTTCCCCTAATTTTCTATTTTTTCCGTAATTATCTCATTCCATGTCTCATGATGTTATATGCTCTAAATGTCTTCCATGCTTAATTGCTACTTGTTAATCCGTGTTTCCTTCTGTTAATAATGTTAGATCCTTTCATATTTTCATGATTCACTGCTACTTATTTTAACTAATTTACTTGCACCTTCTAATTGTCATTTACCGGACTTGACTTACTGTGTAGTATTACGTATATGAATTCCCGTGTTGTACACAGTTTCCTTTATGGTTCCGTTTGGTATTTATTGATCGTAAAAGTTCTTGTGATTTGAATTATTGATTTGACTATGCAAATTGAGTATTTGGTACTGATATGGTGGGAGTGGGTTGCACGCCGCAACATATGAAATAAGGGTGGATTTATATATATATATATATATATATATATATATATATATATATATATATATATATATATATATATATATATATTTT